CATCAGGAACTACATAACCAAGGTTTGTGAATTCACGGTAGAAAGAAGGACTTAGGGTTGAATTCACTGTGCACAAACCATACCAAATACATTTTAGAGTGAAGTTTACAAACAAGTTGTTGTTGTTAGATGCAGTTGAATTGACTACCACCCATAGAGACCTTATTAACAACAGATGGAAAGCTTGTGCTGTCCTGCTCTGTCCTCAGGATCTCCCCCATGCTCAAGCACGTTGTGGTTGCTGTGTCAGTGCATCTTGTTGAGGGTCTTCTTCTGGTTGGCCTAGTGGTGAGAAGTGGTGCTGCCATCCCTAAGGTATACAGTTCGGGTCTACCAGCTTCTCCACAGTAGAAAGAAGGGCAATCTCTTCTTGTGTGATTTAAAGTCTCTGAAAATCCAGTGGAGGGTCAGCTATAAGTTAGTTCCAACACAAAAGCATACAACAGTAACTGCTTTCCTAATTTGTTTTCCAAGGACTGGCCCCTCTTGACCACATGTCCGAAGTATATGAGACCAAGTTTCACCATCCTTGCCTCTAAAAAGCACCCTACTTGCACTTCCTCCAAAACAGACTTACTTGCTCTTTTAAAAGACCCTGGTAGTTTCACAAAGATCATAATTCCCAGACATTACTTCATCTTTGGTCTTCTATATTTATTGTCGTATACATATATGGCAACTCCCCCCACCTTTTTCCCCCCAGGAAGTAAGGAAGTAATCCTGGCTTTGTAATTGATAACTGACATAAAGTTGTGTTTTAGGAATTAAGACCTATAGATTTCAGATTAGTGATTTAATCCCTATTATGGAATGCTGATAGATTTATTAAATCTTGTCAATCATGCCTATTTAAATTTTAAAATAGCTTTTTTCTTTCATACAGATTTCATGACAGCAAAACTCAGACAAATCAGAATGAGGGGAAAAGAATATATCACTTGATGTGATTTTCTAATTAATTGAAAATGGAAAGGAAAATTGATTTAGTTTTTAAAAAGCCTTGCTAATATTTTCCAAAAATTTGAGACTTTTCTCATTGCTTCATGAAGTTCAAGAGTGAATACAATTTTCATATTTCTCCTTGCCTGGGGGTTTTGTGTGGGGCCAGGCTTGAAACTTCTGTGAGAGTTGTATACTGAGAAACTGGTGAGCTCAACTATGTATTCTAGCATGCTCATTCTTTTCTAGCTGTAATTTACTGTGATCACAGAGGTGAATGCTTTAGAAAATCAAGAAAATAGATAAAAATCTTTGTGGTATTGTCTGCACATGACAGAATTTCAATAATCATTTTGAATAAGTATATTTCTGACAATTACAAATCCTCTCAAATTGATGATACAGATAGTCTTGACAATAAGAAATACAGGGTCTTTCCTTGTCACTCTGCTCCAAACCCAGCACTGCTTGTAGATGTATTATTAGTATTACCTCGTTAGACCAGTTACTCATTCCAAATACACTGACAATCTGCTGCGTTTCAACTTCAGTTCTAGGAATTGGAAGTTCATCAGTAGAAAAAAAAGATCAAGACATATTGTGTTGTCAAATCAGCTAAAAAGCTCATGAAATTAAATGTACATATCTAAACATCCTTTAAGTGTTTCAGGGAAACCTCACCTATTAAAAAATATAATATGGAGTTAAACAGGTCCAGTACATATTTCATTCTTTGAAACATCTCAAAAAGGATTTATGCATTGCTGGAAGTATTTTATATGTCATATCTAATTTTAATAAATGGTCATTTTAAAGAACTGATATTATAGTATCAAAATGAGCCAAGCTCTTATTTTATTAAATAAATTTATAGATATATATTAAAAGCTTTCTTACTTATATATCCATGTGTTCTTGCTCTTGTGTACCATAGAGTCTGAACTGATCCATAGCTGACCCTCCAGTGGGTTTTCCTATTAACAGAGGCATTTAATTGCATGGGAGGAGAGTATCCATCCTTCTCCCATGGAGGAGGAGCTGGTGACCTTGAACCACGTGTCTTAGGGATTGCAGTGTACCTTCTTGCCACTAGGCTTCTCTCTCTCTCTCTATACACACACACACACGTGTGTGTGTATATATATACACACAGTTTTTTTGCTTTTGCTTTTTTCAGAAGCGAATTAATTAATGACCATCCCCAACAGGTATTTTTATTCACTGTCTATTAGTATATATTAGCTAACTCAGACGACTGGATCTATACCAGAAATGAGAAATTTAATGTGTACCTAGGATGCTGAGACTCCATTAAATGAACATATACAAATGTGTTCATCAATCCTTTATCCTCCTCTATCTTGATCTCCATATACCACCCATCTCGTTGAGTTGATCTTTGCTTATGACTTGTCTAAGTAGGTCCAAATGATAGTCATTAGAGCCACACTCCTCACCAGCCCATCTTTCTATTGTCTCCTGATGTCGACCGTAATGAGCGTCTGTCCCCACTCCCAAGTTCTCCTGGAACATCTTGTGAGACATGCTTTGCTCTACAAAGTTATAGTTTAATCCAGACAGACAATTAACCTCAGGGGGGTTTCTCATTCCTTTCATTCCTGGGTGGTCATTCTTATTACTGCAAACACATGTTCTTGAAATGCACATGACAGCAAATTTGGTCTGGCTTCGGGGTTTGGCATATTCTCGTACCCCTTTCTTGTACAGGCATCATCATGACATACTTTCAGTTGTGGAGAGAGGGAGCAATAAACAGAAGAAATAAAGCTCAAAATGCTTGTTTGACTTCTTTTCAGATATATCATCTGGATAATCTTTGTTTTTTATCCATGGGTCTTGATAAAGCATCAGAAAAGTATATGATTGGACAAAAATGTCCCTGGCATCTTCTTTGCCTCTATTCCCTATAGAGTTGCTTTGAGCCTTTTATCCTGGGTTCTTTCAGTGTAAATTAACCTCAACATTCAGAAACCAAAATAAAAAAACCAAAACCAAAATCCGACACATCACAGCTGGACCAATGGGCAGTCTCATGACCCATGTAGAAAAGGCAGAAGTTCAAGGATTTTTTCACACTTAGATCCACAATCAATAACTGAGAAAATAACAGTCAAAAGGTTAAATGATCTTTTTCGTTGGGTAGCTAGAGCTTCTTCTTTTCTTGGTTATACATTATTTTGACTAATTTTTGTCCAAAAGTTGTACAACCAAAAATTGTGTATTTTCTGCTATAGTGCACCGGTTATGTTTCTAGCACCCTTTCATTGTGACCCAAACGTAGAGCATCTTCAGAACCGTCAGCCCATTGTTGTGGTCATTTTGCCAAGCCTTTTCATTGAGTTTCTTCCCTTCTTTTGCTGACTCTTCACTTTTCCCAGCATGATATCCTTTCCCTAGGACTAACTTGTCTTTTTTTACATTTTATTATTTTTCTTTTATATTGGTTTGCTTGCAAAGTTTGTATACATTGTTATTTTTCATTCACATGTGTTTTATACAATCATTCCCATGCATTATGCTTTATAAAATTATTCACCATTGGACTATGCCCCAGAGTGTTGAATATACCATGGACTGCTAGGAGAACAAATAGGTTCATCCTGGGAAGGGTGAAACCAATCTGCTCCTTGGAGGCAAGGATTCTGAAGCTCTGTCTGACATACTTTGGACATGTTGCAAGGAGAGCTCAGCCCTTTGAGAGGGGCATCATGCTTGGGAGGGTGGAGGGACAATGCAGGAGAGGAAGACCCTCGGTGAGATGGATTGATTCAGTCACTGGGGTAATGGGAGTAGGTGTGTCAGAGACAATAAGGTTGTCTCAGGATAGAGCATGGTACAGAGCATTGTGCATAGGGTGGTTGTAAGTTACAAGCAACTTGACAGCACATAACAACAACAACAACAACCCTGTCTTTCAGATCCCCATCTGATCTTTTCCTTCATTTCCTCCTCCTACCTTCCAAATTGTGCAACCCTATTATTACTTCCCTCCATCCTCACCCCTCTACTACCATCTCCTCCCTTGTGGGTCCCCATCCATGTTTTACTAGTTATTATTCTATTTTTACAAGAATGGTCTCATGCAGGATTTGTCCCTGTGAGACAAATCACTCAACATAATGCTCTGTAGTCTCTCTCAAGTTATGTAATATTTAAATCATTGCTCCTGAGTGCTGCATAGTATTCCATTGTGTGAATCTACCACAATTCTCAATCCATTCAGTTGTGGTTGGACATTCGGGCTGTTTTCCATGTTCTTGTGATGGTGAGTAATGCTGACATGAACACAGGTGTACAGACCTCCGTTAGTGTCTCAGTTGTAATTTCCTTGGGGTATATTCCTCGTAATTGAGTAGCTGGGTCATATAGAGTTTCTATTGTCAGCTTTTTGAGAAAATGCCAAATTTCCTTCCAGAGTGGTTGTACCATTTACAATCCCACCAATATTGTATGAGAGTCCTAGGACTGACATTTATGCCCAAAGTATGTGTGTGTGTGTGTGGGAATATCCATTGCCTCTAAGGAGCAAGTGGCTATGCTTTCTCCAAGACAGATTTGTTTGTTGTTTAGGCAGTTCATGATATACTCAATATTCTTTGCCAACCACATGCTTCAAAGCCATTTATTCTTTTCAAATCTCCATGATTCGTTGTCCAGCTTTCACATGCATGTAGGTTCGATTGAAAAGATCATGGTTTGAGTTAACCACATCTTAGTCTGTAAAGAGATAGTCCTTGCCCATTAGCTCTTTAAAGATGTCCTGGACAGCAGATTTGCCCAATGAAATGTGTTGTTTGGTTTCTTAATGATGGCTTCCATGCTTTGCGTAGAGAAGTGCAAACCCTAAATTTGATGGGAAAGCCAATTTTGCATGTGCAGTTAATATATATAAATGTGTTCTTTGTCAGAACTGTCCTTCCCTCCTGTAATGAGTAAGATATTTTTGGAAACCATCACTGAGTTTATCTGGGGACAGACCTTGATGTTGGTTCATTGTAGATGACCGTGAACTGTGTTTGTATTTCCCCTCATCCCCGTAGATTTATGCGTATGTCTTTGAAAACATCAAGTCTGTCCGACTGGAAGCACTGCTCTTATCCCTGCTGAGCATTGTGGTGCTTGTTCTCGTTAAGGAGCTGAATGAACAGTTTAAGAGGAAAATTAAAGTTGTCCTTCCTGTCGACTTAGTTTTGGTAAGTATGAAATCAACATTTAGACATTCTACAATCAAACTTTTGCCAGTTGTTGGTGTAATCTTCAAATGTTCACTGTATTGTCTATGGTAACCTACAGCTAGCTACTCCTGTCTCTCATTACAGTTGGGCTAATTTGCGTGGCTGTACATTAATGTAAGAACAGGAAACATTTTGAGTCAGTAATTTAAAAAAGGAGGTGCATGTGTTTTCAATCTTTACAGCATTTCTCATATGCTAGCAATTTCTTACATAAATAAGCGAATGTATATTATCTGAAGACTTGAAGTGGAGATACGTTTTGATGCCTGAAACTCGCATGATCTCTGCCACAATCTGGAAATCAATGAAAAGTTCATGACAAACTATTGTTGTGGCACATCTGTAATATGCTAATATTAGCAATTAACAAACATCTATCAATGATTAGCATATTTGTTTACTCTTTAGTTACTGATACAGTAACTATATTAAGAAGGATCCTCATATTAAAAGGATCCTCATAGCTTTTGCTGACCAGGGATTATTCTTGACACTATTTTTTTGTGGTTGCATCTGGCAAAGCAATAATTAACTTTGCTTGTAAGGCTTAGCATACTGGAAAAAAAACAACCCCACACCCTTAGAAACTTTTAAGAGTCTCTATCCCTGGATGAGATAGATAGAGTAATTAGGGTATTGGGAGTAGGTGTGTCAGTGACAGTGAGGGTGTCTCAGGATAGGCCAGGTTCAGAGATACTGTACACAAGGTTGCTATGAGTCACAGGCGGCTTGATGTCACATAACAACAAAAACAACAATGGGTTGCTATGAGGAGTAGACTTCATGACATTGATTTTTGTTGTTGTTGTTGGGAGGGGCACAGTTCAAAGGGAATTCTTATCTAAATCAAGCACTAAATTAAAAATGAAATGTTAACACAATCACAGTAAATTTTTTTCTTGTTAATTGCCTTTCATTTTTAATGAACTTTCTGGTTTCACATGTACTGTCCAATGATGAAGAAATAAATTCACTTATGATAATATCCTTTCAGAGAAGTGGAATCGTGTAGGTTTATGCAAACTTATGTTAAAACATTGGAAATTATCTTTAATAGCTTTGGTTTATTTCTATAACACTAAGAAGTGGATGCCCTTTCTCCATTACAAACTCATGTATAATTATGTTTTTTTGTCATTTATTGCAATGTGTTTACATTATAGGTATGAAGTATATGCATGTGTATATTTCAAATAAGCCATTGCTTTTAGAACAAGAACTGTGAAACTTACCATTTTATGTCAATGAACATAGATATTAAGAAATGCTTTTTATATCTTGAGAGGTTTTATTACCCAATTTAGTTAAACTAGAAATATAAAAATAACTATAAGGCAGAAGGCCCCTGAAGTAGTAATAAAATAGCTGCTTATTTTTTTGCAAAAATAACAAAAATTATCCTTATAACAAAATACAAGAACATTTTTATATAGTCCTGCTTCTAACATTTGCAAAGCCGAAGGCAAAAAAGCACCAAAGTAAAAGCACTACATACTTAAAAGTTATAAATGAAAATGTTAAATGACACTAATTTCGTTTTCTTGCCTTTAGTAATATACTTTAGTAATGACCTTCAAGGTCAGGTTCCTGTACAGAATTCTCCTGTTCCTTGGAGCTCGGCCAAAACATGGGTGAATCTCTAGTCTCCTCCCTCCTTCTCCTACCCCAGGTCTGTACATTCACAAAGAGATTTCACGCGAACAGAGAGGGATACCTCTTCTCATGTTCATTCTCTACACCTGTTCCACTTTGACTACCATCATCTCTGACCCTGACTTCTTCTTGTGTCTTCCGGAACAATAGACTTGAAGAGCAGAGACATACAGGCCTCTGAGTGCACACAGAATGGCCAGGAAAGAGAGTTACAGGTTTAATTTGGGCATATTTCCCTGTTCCCACACAGCTCCCATTTTGTGGGAAGACTTGTCACTGGAGGGAGGGAAAGATTGGGAATCTTTAAAGCGATTGGACTCACTCAAGGCAGGATTCCTTCTAACCCAGGTGTAAGGCAATGCTATGCTTACATATACTTCAAATATTGAAGAAGGACTTATGACTATACTGATAAAGGAAGTCTGATTCTGTTAATAAAATACCGTTAGGAGCTGAAAGTTCTTAGACTGACTAGTGTGATCTGACTTACTTTTCATATTATATATACATATATATCATTCACATATATATGCACTCATTTTTGCGAGAGATCCAGTATTTGTAGCTAGGCTAGATCTTCTTTTATAACTTTTACAATATTTTTCTGACCTGATCTACATCTTTAATTGCCATATATTTTTTGGCTTAGTAACTTGAATTTGTGAATATATTCTAACAAAATGGCTTGCATCTTCAGTTATAACTATCTTCTTTGTGAAATAACTTAAATGGTTGTACTACCTTTTTGGTTTGTGGGTTTTTTTCCCTATCTAAAGATAGCTCTTCATATAGTTAAATAGACTTTGTAATTCCAGTGGAATATCATCATCAAGCACAGAAATATACATACGGAAAACAACAACACCAACAACAAAACAAAACCACCAAACCCTCTAATTGATGTTGGTGTGGTCAGGTGCTGTTCATTTCAATTTACAGTGGCTTCATATGCAACAGAATGAAATGCTACCTATCCTCTGTTCCACATTTTGTTAGTGTGATTGTGTTATTTTTTCTTCTTACCACGTAGTGATAAATTTATTTTTTAGGTGTTTGCTTGGTGTATTTTTTTTTAACATGGGAGCTCTGGAGCCCTAGTGGATAGGGGGTAGCAACCTAAAAGCAGGCAGTTCAAATCTGCCTCCTCCCCACCCCATTGTCTGGGAGAAAGAAGGGAACTCTCCCATGTGTTTCACAGTCTCTGAAAACCTGTTGGAAGGCCACTTAGGAGTCGATTCTGACTCAACTTATTGCTTTAAGTTTGAACTTTTGAGTGCTACTGGCAAACAGCTGACCTGAGCTATCCTCTCACAATAGCAGAGTCCAGGATGGGTGGAGACTTCATGAAGGTGATAGAAAAGCAACAAGCATGTGAGAGCATCCTCTTGTGTATTTTATTTAAAAGTAATAAAAGCTCAAGACTAATATACATTCAAGGATATTGTAGACCATCATTGATCACCCACACAGTCCTAGGAATATTTATGCAATGTCTCAAACTCTTGAGAAGCTGATCTCGTAAAGAGAAGATGTACTGTTTTATATATCAATAATGTTATGAGATATACACTTTAGGTTGGATTATGTGTGCACACACACATATGTGCACACCCACATTCTATGTTTTTTTCCCTTCAAAATGACACATAATTGTATTGACATGGAGCACATTAAAATTATGATATGTCATTTAATTTCTTGAGACAATAAATTTCAAATTTTTAAAAATGTTTCATAAAACAATCTGTGTACCTGCTGTACTTCTCTTGACAATCATAGTACATGCTTTTAACAATGTTTATTTTAAAGACAGTTTGCATTGAAATTAATTAAAAAAAAGACATTTTGAAGGTGTTTGTGAGACCACTAATATGATTATCTTTTTTCTTTTTTAAATGACTCTGTGTAGATTGTTGCTGCATCATTTGCTTGCTATTGTACCAATATGGAGCACACCTATGGATTAGCAGTAGTTGGTCATATTCCAAAAGGGTAATGTAGTTCCTTTTCTTCTTTGTTTATTTTTGATAGAACAGGGGACTGAGGGTGTCGGTGGATATGAATTTCCATTTTTTAAGGCCTTGGATAGGACAAATGTCTTACTAATTTTTAATTGCAAATGGAATAAACACAGCACTACAAACATAGCTAAAGAGTTAATTCCTAGACAGTTTGCCTATTCCTAAGGAGGCCAACAATTACTTGTTGTTGTTGTTGTTTCTCCAGAGTTATTTTGGGTAAAATATTTGGAATTTATTTACACAGATATTATTTTTTTTAAAAAAAATTGGAGGACATTGTATTTGAGTCATGCAGCCTGCCCTATTTCTCCCTACCTTATGTATTATTATGATTAATTTTACTTCTTGTAAAATATAATGAAGGTAGGCAAATGTTACATGAAATAGCAAATGCACAAGCCTGGGTATTTTTAATGCCAAGAAGGAGTGCAGAAGTAGAAAGATGTGAGCAGTAAGAAAAAGCTTAATGAGAGGCAGAGACGAGTAACTTGACAGGGCAAAAAGTGCCTCTCTGAGTCTTAAAAGCTGCCAGCCTTTCTGTGGAAGAAAAATAGGCAATCTCCTCTTGTGCAATTTACAAGTTCCTAAAACCTGCTTGGCAGTCAGCTGTGAGTTGATTCAGACGCCAAGGCAATGTGTTTGGGCAATTTTTGATGGGGTTTGTTTGGTTGTTTGTTTGTTTGTTTTTCTGTGAAGTAGCTCTAGTGGTCCAAGGTAAGTAGTTTCACTGGGAATCCAGAGGTACTTGTTTCAAATCCACCAGGTTCTCTGTGACAGAAAGATGGGCATTCTCCTCCTATCTGACTAACTGCCTCTGAAAACCGGCTGGGAGGTTCAGCTATGGGTCAGTTTCTACTCAGTGATACACAACAACAGCAACATTAGTGATTAGGCAAGTTTGATTTTCATGAAACAAACTTTTGTATTTTGAGACAGAATATTTTATACTTTTTATACTTTATATATCTTAAGGCCTATAATGATACAAATCCATTTAGCTTGGGGATCAATGATAGTGAGTAAAAAAATTATGACTTTTTCTATTCTAAGTCACCTTCTCTTTGAGAGGCCTTCCACAACCAACCTCATAAGGAATCATGAAAGGCAATGACACTGAAAATGAATCACAGTTCTGTCATTTACAATGTGACTTCAGATAAGGTTTCTAATCTCAAATGTCTGAAAAGAGGAATGGAAAACTGCATGGTTTCAAATCAGAAAAAGGTATATGCTGGGGTTGCATCCTTTCTCCATACCTATACAATCTGTACCAGGAGCAAATAATTTGAGAAGCTAGACACAATGAAGAAGAATGTGGGATCATGATAAGAGGAAGATTCATCAATAACTTGCATTATGCAGATGACACAACCTTGCTTGCTGAACTTGAAGAGAGCTTAAAACACTTCCTGGAGAACAGCAAAGGCTACAACTTTTAAAATGGATTGCACCTCAGCATCAAGAAGACAAAAATCCTCACCACTGGACCAATAAGCAACATCATAATAGATGCAGAAAAGATTTATGTTGTCAACGATTTAATCTAATTTGGATCCAAAATCAACACCCTTGGAATTAGCAGTCTAGAGATCATGAGACATATTTCATTGGGCAAGTCTGCTGTCAAGAGTCCTCTCCAAATTATTGAGGAGGAATAATGTCAATTTGAAGTCTAAGCCATTTGCTATGCATCTGAAAGCTGTGCAATAAATACAGATGATAAAAGAATAATTTATGCATTTGAGTTGTGGTCCTGGAGAAGAGTGCTAACTAGCCCATGGACTTCCAAAAGAACAGATATGTCTTGGAGAAGGTGCAGTCGAAAATGCCCCTAGGTGACAAAAATGACAAAGCTTCGTCTCACGTGCGTTGGGCATGTTGCTAGGAGAAGCTATTCCTTTGAGAGGGTCATCATACTTAGAAAGGTGGAAGGTCGTTTGGAAAGGCAGAAGGTCAACAAAAGAGAGGAAGATCCTCAACCAGATGAATTGACACAGAGACTGCAGCAATGGGATCAAGGGTATCAGAAATAATGAGGATGTTACAGGATAGGACAGGGTTCAGATCAATTGTTCAGAGGGTCACTGTGAGTCATATGTGATTGCCCAGCCACAACAGCATACAGATGGTCAGGGAGCTTTTGTGGCCTACTCACTAGGGAGCTGGACTGCAAACCTAAGGTCTGGTAATTCAAACCCACTACACAGTAGAAAGATGAGAAATTTCTTCCTGTGCAATTTATAGCCTCTGAAAATCCCATGACACATCAGCTATAAGTTGGTTCTGACTCAGTGACAATGAGTTTGAGGTTTTGGTTTGGTTGTTTAAAATACAGTTGAAATGATGAAAGTCACTCCAAGGAAGTTGTCATTCTGGGGGGAAATGAAATTAAATAGTTAATATCCAAAACCAAGAATTCTGTTTGCAGAGCCTACACAAGATACAAGATATCATTGGTACCAGCTGTCAGGAAAAAAGGAGACACATTGCACTGGGAAAATCTGCGGTTAGGGACCTCTCCAAATTATTGAGGAGTAATGACGTCAGTTTGAGGATTAAGAAGAGTTTTATTCATGCTATAGTCTTTCCAATTACTTGCTATGCATCTGAGAGTGGGACAATGAGTAAGAATGACAGAACAATAATTAATGCCTTTGAGATTTAGTGTTGGAGAAGAAAATGGAACATTCCATGGACAGCCAAGAGAATGAAGATATGTATCGGAGAGGGTGCAGCCGGCATGCTCTTTGGAGGCAAGAATGATGACGCTTTGCCTCATATACTTTGGGTATGTTACTAGGAGGGGTTATTATTTGGAGAAGGACATGATGGTGGGAAGGGTAGAGAGTTGGCGAAGGAGAGAAAGATTGACACAGTGATTGTCAGGTGGATTGACACAGTGACTGGCTGCAATGGGCTCTGGTGTGTCAGGAATTAACAAGGTTCAGATCTTTTGTTCATAGGATTGCTATGAGTCATCCTCGACTTGACAGCACCTAACAATAACAACAACAACATACAAGATAGAAAATGAAAATAAATTCTCTTCCCCCTGATTTTTCCCCTACTTTGCCCCTGAGGAATTTCTTTCTTTGGTAAAACTCAAAAAGACATGTCAGGAATAAATACATGATACTTTGGCTGAAGTCATTTTCTGAAGACAATAAGACAATGTCTGGGTATTATTGGAGAGAAACATTTAAATATTTCTTAGAAACTCTGAGACTGCTAACTGGTTCCATACTTTGCCACAGAAGATAGATGGAGCCTTTATCAATATTTTTCTTAACATACTTATAGCCTAATCAAATGTACTGCATAAGAATAGAGTTAAGAGTATGTTTAAGATTATTAATTCAGTGCCAAGTGTAGCACTTAACTCACACTGATGGTTCATAGTAAACTAGTCTTTGTAAGACTGCACAGCATTGTAATGCTTAAGGGGGTGGGGAGGGGAATTAGTCTCCAAAGCCAGCCAAATAAATATTTGGAAAGGTTCAAATGAAAGAAATGCTTTTGACTTCCTTTCGCTTGGGTTCAGAACCAGACCATTTTGTTGAGTCAGGGTTTCTGCGGTGTAACCTGAATTCCCTGGGCGTAAATACCATTTAAGAGCTTGGGACTGCCCCTGTGGTATTCTTTGTGATTTTGCCTTTCTGCTAAATAATGTTGAAAACAAGGGCTTCTAAGGGCATGGCTGCTAGGCTTTTTTGATGAGTAGTTCATTTTCATTTACACTATGTAAACTTCAGAGTCATGACCACAGTTGAAATCACTGTGAGCTGCTGCAGAAATTACACGAAGGCTGATGACTTCAGTATGGTCTTTCTTTCCACAGAATCCCTCCCCCTAAAGCTCCCCCCATGAACATCCTCTCTGCTGTAATCACTGAAGCTTTTGGAGTGGCGCTCGTAGGCTATGTGGCCTCACTTGCTCTTGCTCAAGGATCTGCCAAGAAATTCAAGTACTCAGTGGATGACAACCAGGTGGGGTGTGGCCCCAATCTTTTCCATGCTATTGGATCTATATACACCTAGATCTTAAAAAACATTAGACAAGTGTAAAATTATTACTTTCGAAAGTATAGGAAAAGAGTAAATAGAAAAGAGAAGAATTTTTTTTTTTAAATCTCTGAATTATTTATAAAAAGCAAAAGGTTGGTTAACAAGATGCTTTTTTTTTTTGTGAGCCCCATTCCTGATGTTCTTTGATATGTTATTAGTAGAGAAACCTCTTTTTAAAAAAACATTTGCAATTAAATGCCATTAAAACGATGGAGTTTAAAGTACAAATGAGTAAGCATACCACTAATATTATTCGTTTGGTTTTTATAAAATGAGGTGAAATGGTTTGGATGCCAAAGGATATGGATAACTTTGTTTGTATTTCTGAATCTGCTTCTGCCAGTATCTTGTTTCAGGCCCACTGGCTTTGTTTCAAGCCCTAAGAGTTTGGCAGAGAGGACTGGACGGCAGGGATCATGAGTGATGAACAACTTCAGAATGATTCTTTTTCTGATGCTAAGCAGTTGCTTTAGAATAATTTTCAACTCCTGGAGACTCCACATGTGCCGGAGTAAAATAATGTTCCATCAGGTTTATAGTTAAATAGTTTTGGAAAGAAAAATCTTAGGCCTTTCCCCCCAGGTTCCTCTGAGGAACTAAGAACCTCCCCTTCTGCCTTTTCAGTAGAAGCCAGATGTATTATCTATCATACAACTGGGCACTCCCATTCTGACGCTGAGTCATGTTTCAATTTTTTTTTCCTACAAAAAGTATGCATAATTATTCAACAGATATTTAGCTGGTAGCGAGTTGCACTGCCAGCATATAAGTAGTTGTTGTTGCTGTTATGTGCCATTGGGTTGCCTGTGACACATAGTGACCCTATATATAAATAACAGCCCTAAACCCTGCTCTATCCCTTGCCAATTTTATTTCCAACACACCTATCTATACCCATTACCCCAGTCACTGAATCAATCCATCTCATTGAGGGTCTTCCTCTCCCGAGCATGACATCCCTCTCTAAGGACTTATCCCGCCTTGCAACATATTCAAAGTGTGTCAGATGAAGCTTCAAAATCCTTGCCTCCAAGGAGCAGCCTGGCTTCACTCTCTCTAGGACAAACTTGTTTATTCTCCTAGCAGTCCATGGTATATTCAATACTCTTCTCCAGCACCACAGTTCAAAGGCATCGATTCTCCTTCTATCATCCTAGTCATTGTCTAGCTCTCTGATGCATAACAAGTAATTGCAAAGACCATGGGCTCTATCTTAGTCTCTAGACTGACATCATTGCTCTTCAGTGCTTTGGTGAGGTCTCTGACAACAGACCAATGCAATTTGTCTTTTAATTTCCTGGCTGCTGGTACCAAGAGTGTTGATTATAGAGCCAAACAAACAGAAGCTGTCAACAATCTCAATCTCTTCACCGTCTATCATGATGCTGCCAATCGGCCCAGTAGTGAGAATCTTTGTTTTCTTGATGTTGAGCTATAAGTAGGCAGTTTGATTCTATCAGCTGCTTCTGGGTAGAAATATGGACACGCTCCTCCCATGTGATTTATAGCCTTTGAAACCCTGTTGGAAGATCAGCTATGAGTCAAGTCTGATGCAACAGCAATGAGTAAGTGACAATTCAGGTGGCATAGTCTATAGGGATTTGTGCTGCCAACCCAGAGGCCACAAATCTCTGTCACCTGAGTCCACCAGTCATTCCAAGGGAGAGAGCTCAGGAAATCCTTCAGTGTGATTTCAGCTTTGAAAACCCAATGGAGGGTCAGTTGTGAGTCAGTTCTGAATTGATGGTAATGAGTTGAGTTTTCTAGGTCCAAAGGATACACAGAAAACAATGGAGATCATTATATTTCCTCTGGTTAAAACCTTCCCGTGATTTTCCATCATGCTCAGAAGGAACCTTTTCACCTTGGTCTACAAGAAGTTATGTGATATGCCACCACTCCTTTGCTCTCAAACTTCTTACACATTTCCATTCTGTCATTAGCTGTATGTATCTCCCTTGCTTTTCCTTGAACCCACCAGTCATGTTTGTCTTAGGACATTTGCATGTATTGGTCCCTTTTCTAAGAACTCATCCTAGTTATTAAAATATTATCTTCTCAGTGAGGTCTTCTTGGTTAACAAACAAACAATAAAACTTCAGAATTTCCCATTTCCTTCTTGACGTTTCCCCGCCACCCCCGTATCCCGTCTACTGTTAGAATTCCCTTACCCAAATACCAGCTCTCTGCAGAAAGGGGGAGTTTGTGTTGTTTACTGGCAGCAGAAGCAAGATACATCATTGAAAGGCTTGTTGCAATAAACCCTGGAAACAAAATGGAACAAGATTTGAAAGATGAAGAGTGGACAGATTCTAGAATGGATGTGAGTGGGTATGGGGAGAAAGGGAGGAACTAAAGAGAATTCTGAGGCTTTTTTTGACCTAAATAATTTCTACTTGGGGTGGGGAAGAATCTAGAGACGTAGGTCAGATGTGGTAGAGAGCAATTGTCTCACTTAGTATGTTTGGTAAACTGCTTTGAGATCAAATGGACATTCAGAGTAGCAGGTCACTCAATGTTTAGTATTTGAAAGAATGGTCCAGGAGGGAGACACATAGTTTGAAGTTGTCAATGTGTACTTTGTATTTGGTTAGCTAAGGGAGCTCTGAAGTCAGGTGGCTTAACTCAGGTGGTAAGACTCTGCACTGCAGTCCCAAAGGCACATGGTTGGAATCCACCAGCTGCTCTGAAGGAGAAGAATGGGCAGTCTCCTCCAGTGTGATTTACTACCTCTGAAAACCCACTGGAGGTCAGCTATGGGTTGGTTCCAACTTGAAGACATATATGATCAACAACAAGGGAGTAATGAGGGGAGAGCCTATAGGTATTTGTGATGCTAGTAACACAAAAGTCATCCCTTTCTGGTGGTTCAAACTTACCAGTGTGACTCCACGAGAGAGATGGGCGCTCTCCTCCTGGAAGATACCCATAGCCTCTGAAACCAGCTGGAGGATCAACTAAGAGATGACACTGATGTTGTGGCAATGTGTTTGAATTCTTTTGAATTTTAACTAATGCATGGATAGAAAGGACCAATACTTGAAACTGGTTAGACAAGAAGGCACCAGAAATGAAATTTAAAAGGTAAGAGGGAAATCAGGATAGTGTCTAATCTTAGAACCCAAATGAAATTTGTAAGGAGGAAGGAGTGAGCACTTGCTTCAAATACTGCTTTTTCCACCCAAACATGCTAAGAGTATTTAATTTACCATTGTGGAGGTCATTGATGGAGTGGTGGGAGCAAGTGTCTGAAAAAAGAGAGGAGAAAATTTGCAGCACAGTGTAAATAAACAGATTGTTATGAACCCAAGTCTTAGAGCAGCTTCTGGCTCATTGTAAGAACTCCATGACTGTTAGAGGCTCATCTTAAGAACTTTCTGTTAGCTATTTTTACTATCATCCTTACTTCTAAATGGTGGAGAGAACAGAAATGGAATACAAATAGGCTTATTTGTATTCATTGCATGACAAGTTGTACCCCTGGTCTCTAAACTGTCTATTGTGATTAAGAAATGATAAAATCTTCTATTATCAATTTTTCAGGAATTTTTGGCACACGGCCTCAGCAACGTGATCTCTTCGTTTTTCTTCTGCATACCAAGTGCTGCGGCCATGGGAAGGACTGCTGGCCTCTACAGCACAGGAGCAAGGACACAGGTACCATGACGGTTCAGCAGAGGCAAAATAAGGACCCAGACGGAGAGACATGAATTTATTTCAGTTGTATAGTGCATGCATGCATTGCATGTTGGCCTACTAACTGAGCGGTCAATAGTTTGAATCCACCAGCCACATTGTAGGAGAAAGAGGAGACGTCCCCTCCTGTAAAGCCAGTGGAGAGTCACAATGGGTACTGGATAGTAATGAGTTTGTTTCAAGGGCAAAGATAGAGGAACACCAGAAGTCATTACTTAAGGGGTGTTGAGTTTCTGTTTAAAATGATGAAAAACATTTGAAAACAGATAGTGGTGATGATTGCACAACTTGGCGAATGTAATCATTGTTGTCGAATGGTATGCTTAAAAATCCCAAGTGCTTTGCCATGCATATTTTACCACAGTGATTTTTATTTAAGTAAAGAAAATAAAATTGTAAGATCTTCACTCTTGTGTTCAGACAACAGGGAGAACTTTAAAGTCTTGAAAATATTTACAATAATTTAATTTTTCTTAAAAAGTTTTGAGGAATTCACTGTTCTCTTTCTAATGAAAGATTTTTCTAGAAACGGAATTAGTCTAAAAGCAAACGAAAAAAACCCCCGCTTCTTTTACAAATATCAGCTTTAATATTAGCAACCTTCGAAATCAAAGCTCCCTCTAGTGGTGTCTCAGATACTGAATTTTGTTGAGCTAAACATCAAACCACAGCGAAACCCATTGCTGATAAGTGAATTCTGCTTATGGTGGCAAGAAGCTGCACTGCAGTTTGAAAGCATGAGGTTCAAATCTACCATCTGCACCATGGGAGAAGGATGGGCAAGCTCCTCCAATGTGATTTATTGCTTCTGAAAACCCACCTGAGGGTCAGTTATGCGTCATTTTTCTGACTCTATGGTACGCCACAACAACAGTGGCGCTATAGGACAGAGCAGAACTGTCCCATAGGATTTCCAAGACTGTAACCTTCATGAAAATTGACTACAGTACCTTTCTCCCACTTAGCACCAAACAAAGCCCCTAAGAGTTCCTTGATTTAAATATATGGTTGTTGTTGTTGTTATGTGCTGTCGAGTCACCTGCAACTTATAGAGCCCCTTTGTACAACAGCTCTAAATCCTGCTCTATTCTGTGCCAATTTTATTGTCTCTGACTCATTACCCTAGTCAATGAATCAATCCATCTCATAGAGGGTCTTCCTCTCCTGCACTGTTCCTCCACACTCCCAAGCATGATGTCCCCCTCTACGGACTGGTCCCTCCTTGCAAAATGCCCAAAGTATATCAGATGAAGCTTCACAATCCTTGCCTCCAAGGAGCAGCTTGGTTTAACTTTCTCCAGGAAGAAACTGTTCGTTTTCTTAGTCCATGGTATATTCAGTACTCTTCTCCAGCACCACAGCTCAAAAGCATCAATTCTCCTTCTATCCTCTCTAGTTGTTGTCCAACTCTGGCACAGAAGGTGCCAAAGCGCACCTAAGTCTGCAAAGTGACATCTCTGCTCCTCATTACTTTGGAGAGGTCTCTGATAGCAGGCTTTCCCATCATAATAGGTCTTTTATTTTCCTCGCTTTTGGTGCCAAGAGATTTCCTGGCTGCTGGTTCCAAGAGTAATAATTATGGACGTGTACAAGCTGAAATTGTTGACACACTCAATCTTTTCTCCATCTATCATGGTGCTGCTCATTGGTCCAGTAATGAGAATATTTGTTTTCTTGTTGTTGAGATTCAGTCCCTATTGAAGACTGCAGTCTCTGACATTCTACAGAAGAGGCATCAGGTCTTCAGTTTCAGTGAGCAAGGTTGTATCATATGCATAACACAAATTTCCCTTAAATTCTGATGCCACATTCCACCTCTTAAAGATCAGCTTCTCAGATAATCTGTTCCACATATACATTGAAGAGGTGGAGAGATGGGATGCATCCCTGGTGCACTTCTTTCCAGATTTTGAACTCTGCAGTGCTTCCTCGGTTTTTTCTGATGATTGCCTCTTGGTCCAAGTATAGGTTTCACATAAGCACAGTCACATATTTGGGATCAAGTTCGCCACTTTGTCGTGATCCACATAGTCAAATGCTTATGCATAGTCAATGAAGCACAGATAGACGTTCTCCTGGTCCTCTCTGCTTTCAGCCAAGATTCATCTGACTTTGGCAATGATGTTCCTAGTGCCATGGCCTCTTCTAAATCCAGCCTGCACATCTGGTAGTTCTCTGTTGATGTACTGTACTGTCATTCTTAAATAATCTTTAGCAAGATTTTGTTTGTGTGAGATATTAGTGATATTTTTTGATGACATTTTGTTAGATCACTCTTTTTTGAATGGGAAGAAATTGAATCTCTTTCAGTCAGCTGGCCAGGTAGCTGTCCTCTAGATTTCTTGGCACAATTTGTTGAGAATGTCCAGGGCAGAATCTGTTTGTTAAAATTTGTCATTTGGTATTCCATTAATTCTTGGGGCCTTGCTTTTTTTTGCCAATTCCTTCAAAGTAGCTTAAACTTCCTCATTCATCACCATTATCTTAGTCATATATACTCTTTCATGACATTTTTCTATGTCAGCTAATTGTTTTTGGTATAGTCACTCTGTGTACTCTTCCCATCTTCTTTTGATGCTTCCTGGGTCATTCAATATTCTGCCTGTAGCATCGTTAAGTTTTGCAGCTTGAAGCTTGAATTTGTTCTTCAGTTCCTTCAGCTTAAGAAATGACAAGCAAGTCTGTCCCTTTTGATTCTCTGACTCCAGATCTTTACACATTTCATTAAAATGCTTTGTTTTGTTTTTCCAAGCTCCCTTAGAAATCTGTTCAGTGCCTTAACTATCTGGTTTCTTCCCTTTGCTTTGGCTTCTCGGCTCTCTAGAGCAATATTCAGACTCTTCTCTGACATCCATCTTGGTCTTTTCTTCCACTTCTGTCTTTGTAATGACCATTTGCATTCATCATAGATGGTATTCTTGATAACCTCCCACAGTTCATCTGGTCTGCGTTCATTAGAGTCCAAGGCCTTAAACCTGTTCTTGAGATAGTTTTTAAATTCAGGAAGGATTGACTCAAGAAGAAGTGTACGTATTCTCCTCTCTATCCTAGAGGCTACAAATTTGAATGATTAGGCTGACAGAACTTTCCTAAGCATTTTGATATATTTCTATACATCAGACTTTGGAAGAAATGATAGAAATCTAACAATATGTAAGATCAGGGAAACAAGACTCAGTATTAGAATCTTCCCATGCTGCTCTGCTTATTGAGATGTTTGTGAATCTTCCCAGCAATTCCCATTAGGGTACAGAGAGAAAGAATCTGATGTAAATGTGCCCAAATCAAAGATGTTTTCCCATGGTAGTCATTTTAGACCTTTAACATCTGCAACTGTTAAGTTTATGTGGGTGTAACTGATAACTGACATGGTTTGAAGAAGGCACTAGACAAGCCAAGCCTTAAAAGTTTTCTTCTAAATAGGCTATTTATGCAACCAATTTTCTATGTGGCATGACTTCACAAAACAACTCCTTATATGGCTCCATCTCTCTTCGGGACTAAACTTAAATCCAGTAAATTATCCTAGAAAACATAAAAGCCCTTCAACTTCTAGGCTAATGGCAACCAATCAAAGGACCAGTGGGAACTACTTTGTACAACTTGTTAATTATTTTACCAATTGACTCTTACTCAGAAACATTAGGAAGGTATTTCTGGAGAAAATGATCTTTTAAAAAATGCTAATGTGATTACGTTCCTTTCTGTTTAAAGCTTTTAAAAGGCTTTGCATAGGTCTTCTGATGTAGGCCTTTATGTTGCTTCCAAATCCCAGCGTGCTTCTTTTTCGAGCTTCACTCTTGAGTTGATTTTTCTTAACTTTTAGGTTACCTAGTTCTGCTCCGGTTCTTAGAAGGAATTATGGTTTTGTTGTCCTTAGTTTTTGTTGAATTTTCTTGTCAAAAAAGCCACTCTATTTGCTCTAGTGTTTGTTGTTCCTTTAGCTTTTTTGACCCTTCTGCTTTGTGACATGATGAATGCGGCAGTGGGCTCTCAAGTGTGTCAGAAATGATGAGGACGGAACAGGAAAGAACACGGTTCAGATCTGACATTCATAGGGTTGTTATGAGTTGTACTTGACAGGACTTAACAGCAGCAACTTCCCTCCCAACACTACTCTTTTTTTTAACTGATTTATTAGTTTTTCTTGGGTTGCACATCCCCCACCCATTTCCTTCCCGTACCCCCTGATCACCCAGAAATGTACCCCTTGCCCCAGACTGTTTCATGTATACAATGCCTACTTGCATATTCCTTTCCGACAGTTCTTTCTTTCACCTATTCTACTGTAGTGTTTGTTATCTCTCCACTCTTTTCCTATTCTCTGCCCACCCCACCCCCCTCTGCCCTAGTTTATAACCGTGATGTTATATATTTGTCCTTCTGCGACTAAGATTTTTCACTCAGCATAATGTCCTCCAGGCTCATGTTGTATAATGCTTTATGCGTTCGTTGTTTTTCATTGCTGCATAATAATTCATAGTGTGAATGTACCATAGTTTTTCTATCCATTCATTTGCTGCTGAGCATTTAGGTTGCTTCCATTATTGTGAAGAATGTAGCAATAGACATGAGTGTGCACACATCTGTTTGAATGGCAGTTCTGGTTTCTTTAGGATATATTCCCAGTAGTGGAATTGCTGGATCAAATAGTATGTCTTTTTCCAACTTTTTCGAGAAAGCACTAGATCACCTTTCATAGTGGCTACACCATTTTACACCACCATAATAAATGAGAGCACAAAGGAAGACCAATCATCTTCCTTTTCTCCAGAATCTTTAGCTCTGATGGATGGAATACATTCATTATTGTGATCATGGAGTTAGTTGTTGTTATTGTTGTTGATTGCCTTCAAGTCAAGCACTACTCATAGTACCCCTATGAACAAAATGCCTGAAGTCCCTCTACAACGATTGGCATTTATCAAAGTTCATAGTTTCCGGAGGCATGTTGTTTAGGA